TCCAGGTCTGGTCCAGGTCTGGTCCAGGTCTGGTCCAGGTCTGGTCCAGGTCTAGGTCTGGTCAGGTCTAGTCCAGTCTGGTCCAGGTCTAGTCCAGGTCTGGTCCAGGTCTGGTCCAGGTCTAGTCCAGGTCTGGTCCAGGTCTAGTCCAGGTCTGGTCCAGGTCTCCAGGTCCAGGTCTAGTCCAGGTCTGGTCAGGTCTCATCCAGGTCTAGTCCAGGTCTGGTCCAGGTCTGGTCCAGGTCTGGTCCAGGTCTGGTCCAGGTCTGGTCCAGGTCTGGTCCAGGTCTGGTCCAGGTCTGGTCCAGGTCTGAGTCTGTAGGTGACGTGTTTCTGTCTGTAAATATAAATCAGATGATTCAGACGTCAGAGCCGCTGGTTCATAAATGAGTCAGATGCCCCGGACACTTAGAGACGACCTCACGACCGTTTAGATTCACCGAGAAAAACTCAGGTCAAACAAACCGATCAATAAATCCACAAGAACAAGAACATCGAGTCAGACGCACACAGACACACACAGGTTTACTTTTACACACAGAGACACACACAGACACACACAGGTTTACTTTTACACACAGAGACACACACAGGTTTACTTTTACACACAGAGACACACACAGGTTTACTTTTACACACACAGAGAGACACACACAGTTTACTTTTACACACAGAGACACACACATGTTTACTTTTACACACACAGAGACACACACAGGTTTACTTTTACACACAGAGAGACACACACAGGTTTACTTTTACACACAGAGACACACACAGGTTTACTTTTACACACAGAGACACACACAGGTTTACTTTTACACACACAGACACACACAGGTTTACTTTTACACACAGAGACACACACAGGTTTACTTTTACACACAGAGACACACACAGGTTTACTTTTACACACACAGAGACACACACAGGTTTACTTTTACACACAGAGACACACACAGGTTTACTTTTACACACACAGAGACACACACAGGTTTACTTTTACACACAGAGACACACACAGGTTTACTTTTACACACACAGAGACACACACAGGTTTACTTTTACACACACAGAGACACACACAGGTTTACTTTTACACACAGAGAAGTGTTCAGTTTGATCAGAGTCTAAAGAGACCAACCGCACTGAGAGAGTTTTAGTCCTGGATTAGAGTTGGTTTAGTCCTGGTTTAGTCCTGTTTTTTTTCCTGGTTTAGTCTTAATTTAGTCCTGGTTTAGATTTAGTTTAGTCCTGGTTTAGTCCTGGTTTAGTCCTGGTTTAGTCCTGGTTTAGTCCTGGTGTAGACCTGGTTTAGTCTTGGTTTAGTCCTGGTTTAGTCCTGTTTTTTTCCTGGTTTAGTCTTAATTTAGTCTGGTTTTGTCCTGATTTAGTCTTGGTTTAGTCCTGGTTTAGTCCTTGGTGTAGACTGGTGTAGACCTGGTTTAGTCCTGGTTTAGTCCTGGTGTAGACCTGGTGTAGACCTGGTTTAGTCTTGGTTTAGTCCTGGTTTAGTCCTGGTGTAGACCTGGTTTAGTCCTGGTTCAGTCCTGGTGTAGACCTGGTTTAGTCCTGGTTCAGTCCTGGTTTAGTCCTGGTTTAGTCTGGTTTAGTCCTGGTTCAGTCCTGGTAGTCCTGGTTTAGTCCTGGTTTAGTCCTGGTTTAGTCCTGGTTTAGACCTGGTTTAGTCCTGGTGTAGACCTGGTTTAGTCCTGGTTTAGTCCTGGTTTAGTCCTGGTTCAGTCCTGGTTTAGACCTGGTTTAGTCCTGGTTCAGTCCTGGTGTAGACCTGGTTTAGTCCTGGTTCAGTCCTGGTTCAGTCCTGGTTTAGTCCTGGTTTAGTCCTGGTTCAGTCCTGGTTCAGTCCTGGTGTAGACCTGGTTTAGTCCTGGTGTAGACCTGGTTTAGACCTGGTTTAGTCCTGGTTTAGTCCTGGTTCAGTCCTGCTGTAGATCTGGTTTAGTCCTGGTTCAGTCCCTGGTTTAGTCCTGGTTCAGTCCTGGTTTAGTCTTGATTTAGTCCTGGTTTAGACCTGGTTTAGTCCTGGTTTAGACCTGGTTCAGTCCTGATGTAGATCTGGTTTAGCCTGGTTTACCTGGTTTAGTCCTGGTTTAGTCCTGGTTCAGTCCTGTTTAGTCTTGATTTAGTCCTGGTTTAGTCCTGGTTTAGTCCTGGTTTAGACCTGGTTCAGTCCTGATGTAGACCTGGTTTAGACCTGGTTTAGTCCTGGTTTAGTCCTGGTTTAGTCCTGGTTCAGTCCTGGTGTAGATCTGGTTTAGTCCTGGTTCAGTCCTGGTTTAGATCTGGTTTAGTCCTGGTTCAGTCCTGGTTTAGACCTGGTTTAGTCCTGGTTCAGTCCTGGTGTAGACTTGGTTTAGTCCTGGTTTAGTCCTGGTTCAGTCCTGGTTTAGATCTGGTTTAGACCTGGTTCAGTCCTGGTTTAGATCTGGTTTAGTCCTGGTTCAGTCCTGGTGTAGACTGGTTTATCCTGGTTTAGTCCTGGTTCAGTCCTGGTTTAGTCCTGGTTAGTCCTGGTTCAGTCCTGGTTCAGTCCTGGTGTAGACCTGGTTTAGTCCTGGTGTAGACCTGGTTTAACCTGGTTCCTGGTTTAGTCCTGGTTTAGTCCTGGTTCAGTCCTGATGTAGATCTGGTTAGTCCTGGTTCAGTCCTGGTTTAGTCCTGTTCAGTCCTCAGTCCTGGTTTAGTCTTGATTTAGTCCTGTTTAGACCTGTTTAGTCCTGTTTTAGACCTGGTTCAGTCCTGATGTAGATCTGGTTTAGACCTGGTTTAGTCCTGGTTTAGTCCTGGTTTAGTCCTGGTTCAGTCCTGGTTTAGTCTTGATTCCTGGTTTAGTCCTGGTTTAGACCTGGTTCAGTCCTGATGTAGACTGGTTTAGACCTGGTTTAGTCCTGGTTTAGACCTGTTTAGTCCTGGTTCAGTCCTGGTTTAGTCCTGGTTCAGTCCTGGTTTAGACCTGGTTTAGTCCTGGTTCAGTCCTGGTGTAGACTTGGTTTAGTCCTGGTTCCCTGGTTCAGTCCTGGTTTAGACCTGGTTTAGTCTGGTTCAGTCCTGGTTTAGTCTTAATAAGTAAAATAATAATGTGATGTTTTGAAAAGAGCCTGATTCTTTTGGTGACAGAGTGAAACTGAACCCAGAGTTAAACCCGGTTTATGGGTGGTCCCTGGTTCAGCTCAGAGCCCAGAGTCCCTGACCCGAGACCCGGACTAAACCAGGACTAAACCAGGACTAAACCAGGATTAACCCAGGACTCGCAGTCATTCCACTAATAATTCAATCACAGGTCGTTTTATCACCCAAAACCACCTCGAAAACCAAAACCAAAAGACACTCGGACTGTGAGCGGGGTCGCCTCTCCACAGATCTGACCTGTCACTTTGTCTAGTTTGGTCTCCATGGTGATAGAAAGTAGAAATTTAATGCCACACTGTGAAACATTCCAAGCAAAACCATAATAATAATAATAATAATCAGAACAAAACAGAAAAACGTTTGACGCAGTTTTCCTCCACCAGAAAAGCTCCACAGTGCAGCTTTAATGCCACACTGCGGAACTTTTACACCACCGAACTTGTCCACGTGTTTGTATTATTTCATTTTAGTGGGATTATGTGGTTTAAATGAGTTTATTTTAGGGGGAGGACCACCTGCGCTCCGGGCTCTGGGTGGTCTCTCTGGTCTCTGGTCTCTGGTCTGGGATCTGGGTCAGGTTCATATTTAGACCGTCTCTTTAGACCCTGATCTCGGACTTGATCCCCTCGGGACTCAGACCTGGATCCATACCAGAGTCTAGTCCTGGTTTAGTACTTGTTTAGTCCTGGTTTACCTCTGGTATCATCAATGTTCAGTCCCTCTTTTAGTCCTTGGTTTAGTCTTGGTCTAGTTTTGGTCTAGTTTTGGTCTAGTCCTGGTCTAGTCCTGGTCTAGTTTTGGTCTAGTCCTGGTATAGTTTTGGTCTTGTCCTGGTCAAGGTTTGGTCTAGCCTTGGTCTAGTTTTGGTCTAGTCTTGGTCTAGCCCTGGTCTAGTTTTGGTCTAGTCCTGGTCTGTCTAGTTTTGTTTTGGTCTAGTCTGGTCTAGTTTTGGTCTAGTTTTGGTCTAGTCCTGGTCTAGTTTTGGTCTAGTCCTGGTCTAGTTTTGGCCTAGTTTTGGTCTAGTTTTGGTCTAGTTTTGGTCTAGTTTTGGTCTAGTCTTGGTATAGTTTTGGCCTAGTTTTGGTCTAGTTTTGGTCTAGTCCTGGTCTAGTTTTGGCCTAGTTTTGGTCTAGTCCTGGTCTAGTTTTGGTCTAGTCCTGGTCTAGTTGTGGTCTAGTCCTGGTCTAGTTTTGGTCTAGTTTTGTTCTAGTCCTGGTATAGTTTTGGCCTAGTTTTGGTCTAGTCCTGGTCTAGTTTTGGTCTAGTTTTGGTCTAGTCCTGGTCTACCCCTGGTCGAGGTTTGGTCTAGCCTTGGTCTAGTTTTGATCTAGTTTTGGTCTAGTCCTGGTATAGTTTTGGCCTAGTTTTGGTCTAGTCCTGGTCTAGTTGTGGTCTAGTCCTGGTCTAGTTTTGGCCTAGTTTTGGTCTAGTCCTGGTCTAGTTTTGGTCTAGTCCTGGTCTAGTTTTGGCCTAGTTTTGGTCTAGTCCTGGTCTAGTCTCTGGTCTAGCCCTGGTCAAGTCTCTGGTCTAGTCTCTGGTCTTGCCCTGGTCTAGTCTCTGGTCTTGCCCTGGTCTAGCCCTGGTCTAGTCCTGGTCTAGTCCTGGTCTGGTATTGGTCTGGTACTGGTCTAGGCTTGGTCTAACTCTGGTCTAGTCCTGATCTAGTCCTGGTTTAGTTCTACTTTAGTCCTCACAGCCTGTTTTTTTCTAAATCCACCTGTGACTGAATCAATGTCCAGTCGATCTGTTTAAAGTCACACTGTGGAACATTCTCGGCGACGCACCTTTAAAGATAAGATAATCCGATCAAATATTTGTAATTTTTGTGTTTTGGTTTTTTTTTCTCGCAGGAGGGACCCGTACGACTACCCGAGGTCCACGTCCGACGACTCGAGCCCCTACGACCCGACTGCCCCCCGAGAGCGTCTCCCCCTGCCCCAGTCGTCCAACCAGCGCCACCAGAGCCGCGGCGCCCAGAACGACCACAGGGGGCGCCAGCCGCAGCAGCAGCACGACACCACCAGGAGGGAGGGACACCGACAGGCGAGTCCCGGCCGATATATCGACGACCGATACGGATACGACGGACGACAGCCCGACCCGCGCAGGAAGAACCCCGTGATCGGAGCCGTTTAACGTCGAATAATCCAACGCAGAGAAAGGAAAAGGTTTAAAGACGCACTGCGGAGCTTTTCCGATACGTCACCAGTCCGTGTGTTTTCAAAATAAAATCAAAAATAAGAAAATGAAAAAACAACTTTGTTTTTTGATAACGACTGTTTCCTGTTTCCGTGACTTAAATTGAGACGCCGGACTGAACCAGGACTAAAACAGGACTAAACCGGGTCTGAACCAGGACTGAACTAGGACTAGACCAGGACTAGACCAGGACTGAACGAGGATTAAGACAGAACTGAACCAGGACTAAACAAGGTCTAAAACAGCACTAAACCGGGTCTGAACCGGGTCTAAACTGGGACTGAACCAGGATTGAACTAGGACTACACCAGGATTAAAACAGGACTAAACTAGGACTAAACCAGGACTACACAAGGACTAAACCAGAACTAAAACAGGACTAAAACAGGACTTAACCAGGACTAAAACGGGACTAACCAGGACCGAATTAGGACTGAACCAGGACTAAACCAGAACTGAACCAGGACTAAACTAGGACTAAACCAGGACTAGACCAGAACTGAACCAGGACTAAACTAAGACTAAACCAGGACTATAAAATTTAAACCAGAACAAAACAAACCCAAACATTATTTAAACGAATAATGAAAATCATTGTTTTTTCATTTTCTTATTTTTGGTTTTATTTTGAAAAACGCATGAACGAATGAAGTACATTTTACACTGATACTTTTTACTTTTACTTTACGATTTGAGTTTCTGTCCCAACTTCGACCAAACCAAAAACACAAAAACAGTGAGAAAACGTCAGAAAAATTTAATTACGTAAAATCAGTAAAAAAAATTGTCAAAATCTGTACGTTTGAAGCTTTAATTGTTCAGAAAAATCATCAAAATACTTTTAATTTTTACTCTTTAAGTACATTTTTAAACAAGCACTTAAATAATTTTACTTAAGTAGATTTTTTTCATTTTTTTTTTCACTTTTACTAAAAAATTTTTTTGCTCCATTATCTATATTTAACAATAACCTCAAATTTAATGCCCTATTGCGGAACATTCCATGGCGACACACAGGTAGAAAAGCTCCGCAGTGCGACTTTAAACCCTTAGCTCATTATCGAAATGCAAAACTCCGCCGCAAAATTTCTAAAAAACGAGTTAAATTCAGAATATCGAATTGGATTGAAATAAGTTAAACTAGATCGCGTTTGTTTTGTTTTTTATCTCTTTTGCGCTGCCGATTTTTGCCAATTATTTTATTCCGAAACCTTGTAAATAAGTGGTATTTAGGAGAAAAGGGACATTTAAAAACATTTAAGTTAATATATTTTCACGTCGCGCACTGATAATGTAGATATATTTACGATGGAGTAACGTAACGCACACACTTCGTTTATTTGTAATCCGGAGCGCTGATGTCGCGGCGGCCATGTTTGTACTGTATGGAGGGGTATCCGGGTTTGGGAAGGCCGTGCTGAGTTTGCACAGAGGAAACCGCGGCGTTCCTGTCACAACACGCCGCCGGGAAGTAGACGGCGGGAAGCGGAGCGCGACAAACAGGAAGCGGGAAGCGACACGCCTGACTTCAAAGCGTCCGGACGTCCTTGATGTTGAGTCCCGCCCCGTTTTTTATTTTTTTTTGTGGACGTTTTTATGACCCTCGTATGAATTCATTATGTGTTTGTCATCGCTTTTTGTGTGGTGTTTGAATTAAAAAAAGTCCGTGCTGAAGTATTTTTAAACGACTCAAACTACTCAACTAAACTGTGGCCATGTTTTCTCTGGGTTCGTATTTGCCAAAAAATGTGTGTGTTGCATGATTTTTATACTTTTTTTTTGCATTAAATATTAAAACTATTAAAAAACCCGACTTTCTACTGAGTTGTTTTTATTTTATTAACACTTTTTTACGTTATATTAAAGATCCTGAACTTGATTTTTCACATGTATTTGATAAAATTGTGTCTTTGCAGCTGCTGTTTTTTCAATTTCATTTTAGTTTTTTGGCGGTGTGAGTCTAACTGTAGGCACTGCTCTGTCTGAAGCTCGGTTTTGCAGCACTACAAAACAAAATAAAACAAAACTTAGACGATAAACCCATGGATCATGACCAAAAGTACGACGGAGTGTAAGGCTCAGATAAAAAAAAAAGAGAGAATAAAGTCATAATTTTTCAACATTAAAGTCGTAATTTTATGAGAATAAAGTCGTAGTCAAAATAAAGTCTGAGGCTGGAGCTCTTTTGTAAAGGAGAAGAATCTGTGTGTCGTTTGTTCATTCGACTGAACCAGGACAGAATCAGGACTAAACCAGGTCTGGAACCAAACCAGAACTAAGACCAGGATTGAGACCAGGACCAGAGTGGGACCAGACCAGGACCAGACCGGGACTGAAAACAGTTTAGTCCTGGTTTAGTCCTGGTTTAAGTCACGGAAATGGGAAGCGCCGTTTCCGTGACTTAAAATGCGATGCAGGACTAATGCACCGCATAAGGACTAAACCAGGACTAAACCAGGACTAAACCAGGACTAAACCAGGACTGAATCAGGACTGAATCAGGACTAAACCAGGACTGAATCAGGACTGAACCAGGACTAAACCAGGACTAAACCAGACTGAATCAGGACTAAACCAGGACTAAACCAGGACTGAACAGGACTGAATCAGGACTAAACCAGGACTAAAACCAGGACTAACCAGGACTAAACAGGACTGAATCAGGACTAACTAAACCAGGACTAAACCAGGACTGAAACCAGGACTGAACCAGGACTGAACAGGACTAAACCAGGACTAAACCAGGACTGAAACAGGACTGAACCAGGACTGAACAGGACTAAAACAGGACTAAAACAGGACTGAACCAGGACTAAACCAGGACTAAACCAGGACTGAACCAGGACTGAACCAGGACTGAACCAGGACTGAACCAGGACTAAAACAGGACTAAAAACAGTACTAAACCAGAACTAAACCAGGACTAAACCAGGACTGAACCAGGACTGAACCAGGACTAAACCAGGACTAAACCAGGACTGACTGAACCAGGACTGAATCAGGACTAAACAGGACTGAACCAGGACTGAATCAGGACTAAACCAGGACTAAACCAGGACTAAACCAGGACTGAATCAGGACTGAATCAGGACTAAACCAGGACTAAACCAGGACTGAACCAGGACTGAACCAGGACTGAACCAGGACTAAAACAGGACTAAACAGGACTGAACCAGGACTAAACCAGGACTAAACCAGGACTGAACCAGGACTAAACCAGGACTAAACCAGGACTGAACCAGGACTGAATCAGGACTAAACCAGGACTAAACCAGGACTGAAAACCAGGACTAAACCAGGACTGAACCAGGACTGAAAGGACTAAAACCAGGACTAAACCAGGACTGAATCAGGACTAAACCAGGACTAAACTGTTTTCAGCCCTGGTATGGTCCTAGTGTCAGTCTCGGTCCTGGTCCTGGTCTTGGTCTGGTCGCGGTCTCAGTCCCGGTCTCAGTCCTGGTCTCAGTTCTGGTCTGATCCCGGTCTCAGTCTTGGTCCCGGACTCAGTCCCTGTCTGGTCCCATGGTTTAGTCCTGGTTCAGTCCTGGTTCAGTCCAGAGGTGCAAATGAAGAAAGTAGTTGTTTTTTCGTTTTCTTATTTTTGATTTTATATTGAAAAACGACTGAGTGTTTTTCATTTTGACTTTGAGTTTATTACCACTTCATTCTCGTGTTATAACTTTATTCTCATAATATTATGACTTTAATGTCGAAATATTACGATTTAATTCTCGTAGCGGCATCTTTTTTTTTTTTATCTGAGCCTTATTCTCCGTCATACAAAAGTGTTTAGGCTGAAGTAAAAAAAAAAAAAGTTCTTATAACAAAATATAAATTAAAACAAACTAAATTTAATGCATAATTCATTCATTTCAGAGCTCTATATTGGTCAAAACATAACGCTTTATACTTTTTATTTTTTAAAGGCTTCTCCAGTGTTAGACTTTTTAAAATCAGCACTCACCCTCAAACAGAAATACAATCACTTATTTTCTTAGTTCTTACCTTCATTTTTTTAAGATGTCAATTTTTTTGTTTGTTTTTTTTTTGTTTATGGTCGTACAAAAACTAATAATAATAATGATAACGAAGACACAGACGTTTATCAGTTATGATCGGACAAAATAAACCACAGTGAGAATGAGAAAATGTAAGGTTTTGTGTTTTCGTTTATGGTCGTACAAAATAATAATAATGATAAAGAAGGCGGAAAATGTATTGTTTTTGATCGTAACAAAATAAAAAGGTGTAAGATATGTAATAATAAGATAATGTTGGACAATGGCTCTGGTCTTCTAGGTATTTCTGTCCACGTCTCTTTGGATTTGCGAGCGGGATGCTTCCATTTTGTGTGTTTTTCCTGAATTTTCGGATTACATTAAAATATTTTTGATATAGAGTGTGTTTACATGCACATCAATAACCCGGTTATTATCCATATCCCGGTTCTGTCAGTATTCGTGTTACTGTGTTTACATGTTCACTGAGAAACCGGGACACTCATATCCGCGTGTACATGATCAAATGGAGTATCCCGGTTTCTTGACATAATCTTACAAATGCGCAGGCGCAAAAATTAACTTAAATCAATTTCATAAACCAGGAAAAATACAAACCGTGAGCTCCTTTAGCATAAGAAGCTAAGGAGCTACGAGATCTCCCACAATCCACTGTGCAGATTCTTCATTAAAATCTTCTGCATAAATAAACTCAACTTTACAACATATAAACCATAAACACTATAGACACATCAGCCCGTTTGATCAGATCATTCAGCTCTGATCACATTTGTTTATGTTTTACAGAAACGAAACTTAAGACCGTAGGCTAATTAGCATAAACTGTTAGCGGCGATAAAAACAACTCGCTCCTTGTGTCGCTGATGCGATCAGTTTCTTTTTTGGACTAAATGACACGACTCTGTGGATTATGTGTGTTATTTCTGTGACAGAAGAGGCGCTAATGATGGTAAGTGTGTTCCATGCGTATAGAGTATAGGAGATAGTTCATGTTTTAGCTTTTCAGCGTCACACGAGTGCAGGTCGTACGAGTGCAGATTGTACATGTGCAGGTTTAGCGCAGCTCTTTATTTTACAGTCATTTCACTCGTTTGGTCACTTTATTTATGTTGGTCAATTTATTTATGTCACTACTGTTGTGGTGAAAGGCTGGAAAGTGTCTTTTTGACGCATGCGACTCAACTTTATGTTGCAGTAACCGGGATACTGCGCATTTACATGCCACAAGTAACCTGGTTACTATCAGAATAAACCAGCTACAGTAACCTGGTTTCTAATAACCGGGACACTGCCATAACTGGGTTACTGAAACCGGGTTACTGCGTATACATGCACCATCAAGAAACCGGGATACTCAAAAAACCCGATCATAACCGGGTTATTGATGTGCATGTATAACGCACTCAGTGAGACACATGCACAACATAAGGTAAGTAACTTTGGACTTTTACAAACTGTTTCAAATGAACTACTTTTGTTTTGTTTGTTTTTTTTTACGTTTTTAAAGGCGTGAAAATCAGGTGCGGAGACTCAAACTCACGCTTCATCCGTTTGAATATTAATCGCCGGCGCGTGGAGATAACTCGGCCCTGTAAGATCGGCGATAAGGAGCGTCGGCGTTTTGATAACGGCTCATTCATTTCTGACAATTAGCGCGCGGCAAATCTCCACTAGAAAAACGATTACGCTTCAATTTACACGTTTTAATCAAGACGGTGCACGGATTTAGACTCGAGACGGGAATAATTAGTGCGTTACTATGGAAATGCTCCGTTTAAAGGCACGTGTCGGGTTTTTACTGTCTAATGCTACACGTTTTGCTTTCACGTTAACCCGAACGACGACTA